GTGCAATAAACATCACAGTAAATGCACATGTCACCAGGGCTATTTTTGGGCAGGAACGCACAGGAACGGAGTTCCGGCTGGCTCCTGAGTTGGCCACGCCCAGCAGGAACTCATTAGCATAATAGGCCACACCCAATAGCAGAAACTCATTAGGATTGGCTACATTAGGGGTGTGTGGCCTAACATGCAAAGGAGTTCCTGCTACAAAAAAAGTCCTGGGTTTTGACAACAAACAAGGTAAACAGAATAAGAAGGGAAAGGTGGGTGTGGCTGGATGACCAGACTTCTGGTAACATGGGGGTGTGGCCTAATGTGCTAATGAGCTGTGCTGTCAGGGTGTGGCCTAATATGCTAATGAGTTTGGTGTGGCCTATTATCCTAATGTGTTCCTGCTGGGCTTTTTCTACAAAAAGAGCCCAGCATGTCACAATGCCAAAGAAAACCAATCTCTACATTTGAATCTATTCGACATGCAGGAGCTATAGCCAGATTCATATCTTACTGAGAGACCAGGAATAAAATTATAGACGAAAAGGATTGATGTAAAGGTTCTGCTTTTGAGAACGCACGGGTGGAACGCGGCATTTGCAGCTAGCCATCGGGTGAAGTAAGCCTTGGAACCTTCACTTCAGAAATTGTTTTCCCAGTTTTGAGACATTCCTCAGATGTAAACCTTCAGTGGTGGACCTTTTATTACATAAATATTACACCTCTGGAGGCATATCCTGCAGGAACGCCAGTGTTACATTGTTTCACAGCGTTTTCAGGAGGTTGTTTATGTTGTTTCAATAACATTTGTAGAGACTGGTTTCCTACTGTGTATCTCCGTTTTTGGCTTGACCTCCAGGTGGTGGCTGGAGATCTTTGGCTATTACAACTGATCTCCAGGTGACAGAGATCAGTTCACCTGGAGGAAATGGCCAATGTGGAAGGTGTACTCTATGGCATTCTATGCCATTGAAGTACTTCCCTCCCCAAACTCCACCCACCTTAAGCTCCACGACCCCCAAATATCCATGTATTTCCCAACCGAGATCTGGCAGCCCTATGGCTGGCTCCAGAGGGCCCGAAGATGGCACAGATGAGGAAGTCTGAGGACAAAACTGCTAGTGGAGCAGCTGCAAGTGGAGGAGTGGGGAATCAAACCCAGTTCTCCCAGATTAGAGTCCGCACAGTTAACCACTATACCAAACTGGCTCTCCTATCTTCCTCTTAGTCTTTCCTTAAACATCACAGCTGCTAGGGGAATGGTAGTGCAGTTAACCCTCTGAGAGTTGGGAGGTGATGCTTTTGTGGCCCAGGGCTGGGAATGATGACCACCTCTGAGAACCCCTTGGGTAGACGCCTCCCTGCAAGTTGTGTGGCTTCAGGGGTAAGAGCCAGTTTGGTGTAGTGGTTAAGTGTGCGGACTCTAATCTGGGAGAACTGGGTTTGATTCCCCACTCCTCCACTTGCACCTGCTGATGTGACCTCGGGTCAGTCACAAGCTCTGGCACAGCTGTCCTTGAAAAAGAGCAGTTTGTGTCAGAGTTCTCTCAGCCCCACCCACCCCACAGGGTGTCTGTTGTGGGGAGGGGAAGGGAAAGGAGTTTGTAAGCCGCTCCGAGACTCCAAGTGAAGGGCGGGGTATAAATCCAATCTCTTCTTCTTCTTCTTTTCAAAAGGAATCTCCTGTAGCTTGGCTTGCAGAGGTCTTTGGGCAGGCTATCTGATCCATGTTGCTTCAAGCATGTTAAGTCTCTTCACTGATTATCTTTTACCGACAAACCTTAAAGCAGCCTGGTGTGGATAAACTCTGGTTCCTACAATTAAAAAAAAATTGGTTGTCATCACAAGAGACAAATCACCGATCTGTAGTGTGCGTGTTTGTATGTGGAGGAAATCAGCAAAAACAGCCCCTCCCTTCCATTAGTGGAAACAATTGGTGGAATCCAACCCCTTAGACAAAAGATCATTCTGGGATTTTTAGCTGCATCCCCCCCCACCCCAATTTAAGATGTTTGTCTTTTCATTTTTATAGAAACTCAGAAAATGAAGAAAACTATGATGATGTTGATGTTGTTGAAGGTAAGGAGAGCTGAATTTCATTCACATTGGAAATGAGAAAATTAATCACAGTATAGCTTTGTTTATTTGAATAGCCTGGAAGGATTCCAAGCATCAAGAAGATCCGCACTACAAATGTAAACCTTTTTATCAATTGTACCCCGAGGTTTGTGTGTGTGTGTACATATATATACATAAGGAAAAGGTAAGAACCCTCAACAGGAAATTCCCAGCACTTTATTCAGCTACGGTTTCCAAGATTCTTTAGAAGCTGTGACAGTTGAATAGGTATAAAATAAGTAGATAGTTTACACAGAACCATACAGATTATTTTGAAGGCCAGAGAAATGGGGGTGGGGGGAGACTGCAGCATAGTAATATATTCACTTGAGGATATACATTCTAGTACTTTCAGAAAAGTACAAGCTTTAAAAATGACAATTTGGGTAATCGGAGAGCTGTATCCAAAGATGAATGGCTGTCATATCTTTTTGCTGCCGTTTCATATTGTAGAACATCAGTGATTGTTCAGAATGGGGGAGGGGGACTTGCCGGTAAATCTACTCCACTTGTCCTATGTGAGACCCAGAGGTCATTTCGGGGGGGAACGCGGGGTGAGGTGTGGGGGTGGGGCACACGACAAAGCCCCGCCCCCTGCTTTCAGCCGCCCCGCTTCCGGCCCTCATTCAGCCAGGAGGAGGCAGGAGAAGAGGGAGGGTAAGTTGCTTCCTCCCCGCCTCTCCCCACCCCTGCCTGCCTGGGGCCAGGGAGGGCCTTGGCGGGGCTTCCTCGCACTCCCGCCGGACTTGCAGGTTCACCGCCGGGCCCCTGATGTCAGGGGGTGTGGCATATGCTAATGAGTTCTGCTAATGAGTTCCCCTAGCTCTTTTTCTACGAAATGACCCCTGGTGAGACCCATTGTAGTGAAGAGAGAAACCACACATTTGCCATGCTTTAATTATGAGGAACATTAAACTATCTACCACTGTGTTCCTGCAAAAGAAAATTAACAATCTCTTTCTGGCTTTTGACTCTTCAGGTCCTGGAAATTCAGATGAGGTAGGTATTATCCTTCAAGGATACGATAACTTCAAATCCTTCTCTCTGATGCTCCCATTACTTATGCAATATCCTCCTCGGGCATCTTATTCTCTGCCTACCTCCTGTCGTTTAGGTGCCAAGTTAAATATAATTTTATTCTTTCAGGCTTTTGGCAGGTGATAGAACATGCTGTTATTTGTCAAACACAAAAGGTTTTGTAATGTGTAGACACAGGGTTGCCAGCCTCCAGGTGGTGGCTGGAGATCTCCTGGGATTACGACTGATCTCCAGGCGACAGAGATCAGTTGACCTGGGGGAAATGGCCATTTTTGAAGGTGGTCCTTATGGCATTATGCCCCATTGAAGCCCCTCCCCTCCCCAAACCCTGCCCTTCTCAGGCTCCACCCTCCAAATCTCCAGATATTTTCCAATTCAGAGTTCGCAGCCCTATGTAGACGGTATTGTAGGTAGGTAACAAGGAGGATTGTCCCCATGGCTCAAGCAGTTTTTTTTACTCTTCCAGAAGTAATAAATCTACAAATTGGATTAGAACATAAGAACATAAGAGGAAGCCAATGTTGGATCAGGCCAATGGCCCATCTAGTCCAACACTCTGTCAGACAGTGGCCAAAAATACCAGGTACCATCAGGAGGTCCACCAGTGGGGCCAGGACACTAGGAGCCCTCCCACTGTTGCCCCCCCCACACACACACCAAGAATACAGAGCATCACTGGCCCCAGACTGAGAGTTCCTACCTATAGTAAAGGTTAAGGTTCCCCTGCTCGAAAGCTAGTCGAATCCGACTCTAGGGTTGCGGTGCTCATCTCCGTTTCAAAGCCGAAGAGCCAGCGCTGTCCGAAGACGTTTCCGTGCTCATGTGGCCGGCATTACTAAACACGAAGGCGCACGGAACGCTGTTACCTTCCCACCGAAGAGGTACCTATTTATCTACTTGCAATTTCTTGCTTTCGAACTGCTAGGTTGGCAGGAGCTGGAACTAGAGACGGGAGCTCACTCCGTCATGCGGCACACTCAGGTCTTGAACTGCTGAACTACTGACCTTCCACAGCCTGCAGTTCAGCATCTTAACCCCTTTAGCCACCTATCTATACCTTGTGGATAAATAGCCACTGATGGACCTCTGTTTTGACTCATCCTGGACTATTTATTTACTTCATTTGTACCCTGCCTTTCTTCCCAGTGGGGGCTCAAAGCAGCTTAGATTGTTCTCCCCTCCTCCCCTAGGTTAGGCTGAGAGGGAATGAGTGGCCCAAGATCACCTAGCTAGCTTCCTTAGCAGAGTGGGGGATTACAACCTGTCTATACAACATCCTACCCTGACACTCTTACCACTTCACTACATTTAGTAGTTAATGGGGAAAAACATTTGTCTGTGATAAGAATGGATGAGATCTGAAATATTTGATTAGGAAAATGAATAACCAGGTTATAAAGAACAACTTGTTTGAACAATCGTTTGGGATTGAAATGACGACTAATGCTTTTCGTTGAAATTCTGCTGCTAAATCCTTAATGCCGTTTTTTGGGTCTGTCACAATTAAATGTTGTTTAATTTGAATGTTTTTCCATCAATAAGACTGGAACATCTACACTGGGTTTTTCCCCCCTTACAGAGTGAAGAGGAGATGTATGAAGACATAGATGTGAGGTATGATACATGATACTTAATAGATAAAGCAGATGAAATTATCAGGATACTATAAACTAAGGAGACGCAGAAATGAAAGATAAATCATGACAAGACTGCACACAAGAGATCCAAATGTAGCACAGGGAAGTCAGCACCGTCCCATATCCATGATTTCTGCCTCTTAGATTAAATCACCTGAAAAGAGGAGGGAAAGTTATGCGCGGTGTTTCCCCTCGCATTCACCATGTATGTTTGTTTGGTTTTCTTTGTTGTTCTGCATTTCCTCTCACTTTCAATGTGCATGTCCATTGGGTTTTCTTTTCTGTTCTGTTCTGTTTTCCCTTCAACGCCTGGTTCGCTTTCTGGTCGCTGTTTCCCAGGGTTTTCTGAGAGTGTTTTTGTGCTGATTTTTTCCCCCTTGCTTCGCTTTCTGAGCCAAAGTTAATTCAAAAGCATACATATTCTCTCGGATTTTCATCCCTTGCAACTTTGCTGGCCCTGGAAGGTCAGTCCCCTCCCACATTGAGGTCATTTCGCCCACTCTGTGCCTTCTGCCATTAATGGGTGAGCATGCTCCATTGATTACTTTTCCCTGTTGTTTAAAAAAATTTTTTACAAGTGGCATTAATCTAGCATTATGAGACTGATGTTAGTCTCATGCCACTTGTCAAAAAAAAAGAAGAAGAAGAAGTAAAGGATGGAGGTTAAACTTAGAAGGAGCAGCTATTGCAAACAGTCCCGATTTGGGGGCCGAATTCCCTTCCGCTCCTCTAAATTTAGATTCCAGACTGCCGCTAGGGAAAAAATGAAAGCAGCACCAGTTCCTTAGCAGCCAGTCTGTTCTGGGAATATACCAGAGTTTATTTAAGACCTTCTGGGAAAAGAAACAAAAATTGGAATCACTTGCACGCAAAGGTGACTGGGTAATGTTTTTGTAACAATTCTCTTGGGAGACCAAAGCTCTGCCATTCCTCTAAGGTGCTGATTTGGGGGTTGAATTTCCTTTCCCCTCCACCTTCCAAAAGTTGGAGCTGGGCTGCTCTGTCCTGGGTGACCTCCCTGGTATTGGCTTGCTCCACGCTCACCTGGCTTATGTAACTGCCTGCAGCCGAATGGCGAAATCTGAGAAAGGCGGCTCTCGCATGTGGCTTGGACTGCTGCTGCTGCAGTTGCAGGGCTCGGCTGGGCTGGGCTGGGCTGGGCTGGTGAGCTGGCTGGTTCACGAAGGGCGGCCACGAGCCAGCACACTGCTTTCCATTGCTTGCCTGGGGGTGGCTGGCCTCGGCCCGGGTGAAAAAACAGAAAATGGGCTGCAGGAGCAGGGATTTGTGTCCCCTTTCTCACACATTACTGGGAGCTTCCCCCCCCCACACTCGGGGCAAAAGCTGTAGCAATGACCTTGTCCTCATCCACCTACATGTGCACCACCCCCGCGCTCCCCTTTCCTCCCATGCAAAGAATGAAAATGTCAGGTTGGATGCACAGATGTGCACGCACACCCACGTTGGCAACGATCACAGCTTGCAGTGCCAGTGTCAGTGGGTTCTACCATGCATTCTGTTCTCTCGACATGTTCCCCTGTGTTATGAGATTGTGTGACTTCCGTTTTTCACAGTGGCTGATAACACAGCAGAGAATCCCCTAGTGTTGGGCAATATGGGAAACAGAGCTTCTCAGCTGCTTGTAGTCAGTTTCATTTTAAAAAAAAAAGAAGGTCTGGTCAATTTCAACATGAGGTTTTCTCCCTTTGCCAGCGTTCCTTTCAGTTCCCTTTCTGTTCCTTTTCAATCAATGAACTAACTCTAAAATGCATGCACGGAACCTGAACCACGAGGATTTAAATGGTAGGTGTTTGCTGGACTGCGTAAATTTTTAAAAAATAAAAACCAGTGGATGCCCCCCCATACATCACATCCACTACTGTGTGGTCTATTCAGAGTCATCCTTCTTGGCTAGTTCATCAAAAGAAGGGAGTGATCCAGACCTGCTAGGAGCGGATCATTTATTCTTTTGACTGGGTCTTGTTTTCATCTGTGCTTTGCAGTGTCACACAGCAGCCCCTGTCCTATTAAGCCGGGCTTTTTAGCCTCTTGTCACAGAATTAGGGATTGCTGCTCAGTCCCCTGCTAAACCTGTTACTTTAATCTCTATAGTAAATTAATCTCTATAGTTGAATCTTTGGCTCTGTTTCCCAGGAGGCTACAGGACTCCACTGGTGCTGTGGCCTTCTGGTGCCAATAACCCTGTACCTGATTCTTGTCTTAGAAGATGTTTATACATTCCAGGACTTAATGGTGCCACTGTCAAAGTTTAATTATATAGGGAATCAGAACCTGGCTTCCTTGACCTTCTGAGAGCTTCCTGAACCCAGAGATAGAAGGAAGGGGAGGAATTTGGATCAGTACATTGGGTCAGTTCTGGTCAGTTCCAGTTTGCCCTGCGTCACATTTACCACAGCTATAGGTCAATAGGTATGTTAGCAGCTATAGGTCCAAGGAAGATATATACCTCTGGTTTACTAATGGTTGGGGCTGCTCATCAACACTGTGTGTTGACACTGGGCCTTGGTGCGTAGCCAGAATATATTCCTTAATCTTATAAATCTGTGTGTACACTGTATATTTCTTTATATGTTTTGAGCAATGCTCCCTCTAAGCTGTGGAGTCTTGTGAGCAAAAATTCCACTTTGTGAGCTACTGGCATTAAAGTTGTGAGCGAGCTATTTGGCCATTGTATAAATTAGTTTGCTCTGGAGCCATCCTTCTGGAGCTAAGACAAAAATGTGTGAGCTGGAGGGTAAAAAAACTGTGAGCTAGCTCACACAAACTCATCTTAGAGGGAACACGGAGTGTGTCTTTACAATGTTCTACTTGGAATCTAATAAACTGAATTCAGAAAGAAGCATTGGTTTGTGTGTCTCTCTCTCCCGGGCAAGGAGAGTGCCCAGCCAGCTCTACCCACCAAATGTGAACTTGGGAAATGGGACTTGGGGCTCCAGGCTTCCCAGCCCCTTAATGTTTTCTCCAACACCTCTCTTTGCAAAAACTGTTCCCTACTTGGCCCTCTGCTGTTTGTAGCTGAGTTCATCTCTGCCCACTGAATGCAACGGAGAAGGCTCTGGCTCATGAGAGCTGATGTCACAATGAATTCATTAGCCTTAACAGTGTCGATTGGTAGTTTTGACTGCTGCAGCATTGTGAGGTGTGGGAGACAAACAACAGGAAATGAATTGTTCCATCATGCCTTGCTTGTAACTTTCCCAGGGACATCTGTTAGAGGCAGAATGATGAACTAGATAGACCTGTGGTCTGATCCAGCCACCAGATTCTTATGGTGAAACACAACTTTTCTTTAGATCAACGTGGGTCATTGTCTGATGAAGTGTGCGTGCACATGAAAGCTCACACCTTGAATAAACTTTGTTGGTCTTAAAGGTGCCATTGGACTCTAACTTTGTTTGGCAACTTTTCTTTGTTGGCTTTGACTGAATGTTTTAGTTAGGCTCCTAATCCTGATTAGACTGTTGTCCACTTTTTTGTATGTATCCATCTCCCCCCTCCTTTTAAAAATTATTTTGCAGACATCCATCTAAAGATCGTGAAAGGAAAAGGGAGAAGTTAGAAGAGAAAAAATCTGATCAAGAGAAGAAAGAACAAAAAGAACAAAAAGAAAAAGAGAAAAAAGAGCAGGAAGTGAGGAAGAAGTTCAAAGTAAGGTCTTTTTCCAGCATGGTATGCAATGAAATACAGATGTTGTCCCCTAAAAGATACTCTGTTTGAAAGTTAATATCTTTGTGCTGTTGCTAAGAGGTAACATTGGGGGAAAGCCTTGGCCTCTATGACCCATTTGTTGTCAACAAAGGATCTTCAGGAACTTTATGCTTCCAGACCAGTGCAAAAATGTCAAAACTGTCCAAAACTGCCACACAGATTGAGAAAGAGGAAGTTTAACTATTCCCCAGCCATCCAATTTTGCCAACTAAAATAGATGCACTATAGGCACCACTGTTATTAGCCTTCAAAGGAAAAAGACAGGCAGCCTGTCTTTTTTCCTTTGAGAGCTAGTAGCAGTATCCATTGATTAGAAAAACCATGTTGGGCAGAAGAATTAAATTCCCTCCACCACCATCCCCTACATGACACTGATCCAAATTAGGTCCTAATATGGCTTCTATTAGTAATTTTTTAAAAAATCATCTTGTCTGTTTTCTCCCCAAGGCTAGTAATACAAGAGCTATGATTTGGCCACAGATATATTAACCATCTTCCTAATGTATGTCAATCTTGTATGTTTCTTTTGTGTTTCTTTTGTGTAGCTAGTGGGTCCCATTGAAGTCCTTCACCAAGCTAGATCTTGCACTGACTACAAAGGAGGGAAGAATGAACTGACTTTCAGACAAGGGGACAACATTGAAATAATCCGTATTACAGACAATCCAGAGGGGAAATGGCTGGGAAGAATAAGAGGCTCCTGTAAGTATCAAGAAGACAAATTACGTGAATTAATGTTAACACGTCTAATCCATCTAAGTCATTGTTCTCTATTTAGACTAACAGCAGTTCACCAGGGTCTCAGGCCTTTCACATCACCTATAACCTGATCCTTAACTGGAGATGCTAGGGATTGAATTCGGGTCCTTTGGCATGCCAAGCAGATGCTCTGCCACTGAGCCATGGCCCTGGTTGCAGCCTCGTTGACCTTGCTGCAGGCCCGACTCCTCCCCCTGCATGGTAGTCTCCTCAGTGTCCATGCTCTGCCCCTTTGGTCGATGCTATGTATGACAGACCCCCATTTCTTCCCCAACACCCAGGCAGAATTTTCCCGCCAAAAAAATATTTTAGTTCCCCTCAGTAACTGAGCTGCCCTCCAGTAGCATGTATTTCTTTCTTTCTTTGATAAGATTAAATTGTCCCACCCTGTCACAGATATTTGTTTAGGCTTTAGACCCAGTACAGGAACTTGAGGGAAAGACAGGAGGTGTCCTGTTTAAAAACCCTTGTGAAATCGCACTTGAGGCAGATTAACTTTCAAAAACAGAATAAAGATTTTATTAAACAGGCAGGGAATATATAAATATGAGGATTCAAGGTATAGAGGTTGCTGAGATAAAACATTCTAATATATACAGAATTGAGGCTTTTCAACATACAAAAGAGTGTTGTTGAAGCTTAATTTATGAGTTTCAAGTTCTTTTCAGTGAGAGGTTTTTGCTTATTATATATTTCAGCTGTTACACAGAATCTTGAATATAGAGAATAGGTTTGTCTTAGTGCTTCTAGGTTTCTCCCTTCAGAGATCTAGTTTTTCTCTTAAGGTATTACAGGTTTTTCACTAACTCCTGAGGTGTATGAGCTTCTCATTTTTATCACAGACCACTGTTCTCTTCCCAGCCTCTTTCACTGGCAGAAAGTTATTCTCCTTGTCCCTAAAATGCAATAACTCCTTTTACTATTTGACTTGTCTGAGAGTTCTCTCTAACTACCCAGACCTTCTGCCAAATGCTCTTCCAGTACTATATGTCTGTGTAATGCAGTGTTGTAGCTTTTTTGACTGAGAATCTGAATTCTCCCTCAAAGTAGTTTTTAATGTATCTTAGACAATGGGGTCCTTATTCTTCTATCTATAGAAGTCCTTTTCTGGATGTGCCTGACCTCCTTGAGTGGGTGCACAGTAATACGAGAAGAGACACTCTGGCTCCTTAGGGCCAGGGAGGGCCAGGCGGTTTTGGGATCCTGATCGCAGTGCTCTCTGGGGAACATACGGGGAGAGGCGGTCCCTCAGGTAGGCCGGTCCCTGACCATAAAGGGCTTTAAAGGTCAAAACCAGCACCTTGAAGCGAATCCGGAATGCTATTGGGAGCCAGTGCAGAGTCTTAAGCACAGGCTGGATGTGCTCCCACCTGCGGAGGCCCATCAACAACCTGGCTGCCGCATTCTACACCAGCTGCAGCTTCCGGAGTTGCACCAAGGGCAGCCCCATGTAGAGAGCATTGCAGTAGTCCAACTTCGAGGTGACCATAGCATGGATCACTGCAGCCAGATCATTGCGTTTGAGGAAGGGAACCAACTGCCTAATCAGCCGAAGATAGTAAAAGGCTGCCTTGGCAGCGGCTGCTACCTGGGCCTCCAATGTTAAGGAAGCATCCAGGCGCACTCCCAGACTCCTGACCCTCGGAGCTGGCACCAATGGCACCCCACCGAAGGCTGGGAGTGGGATCCCTACCCCCGTACCACTCCGATTCAGGCACAGGACCTCCGTCTTCATTGGATTCAATTTCAATCGACTCAGTCTAAGCCATCCAGCCATGTCCTGCAACGCCT